TCGTCGTTGTCGCCGTCGTCGTCCTTCCTCCTCTCTTGTCGTCGTCGTCATCGTCGTCGGCGTCGTCGTCGTCGTCGTTGGCGTCGTCGTCGTCATCGTCGTCGGCGTCGTCGTCGTCGTCGTTGGCGTCGTCCTCGTCGTCGGCGTTGTCATCGTCGTCGTCGTCGGCTGCGGCGTCGTCGTCGTCGTCGTCGGTGTCGTCGTCGTCGTTGTCGTCGTCGTCGAAGGCGTTGGAGACGTCGTCGGTGTTGTCGTAGTCGGAGTCGGCGGCGTCGTCGTCGTCGTTGTCGCTACGGTCGTCGGCGTCGGTGTCGCTGCCAAGTGCAATTTGGTACCTTCCGTCACGGTCTTAAGAGGTATTGCGACTAAGTTGCGGGTGGGAGGGTGGGGTGGGATGTTTGCGCGAGCAGTGGAGACGACAGCGTCAAGTTGAGCAAGTGATTGAATGCACCACCTAGGTTGCACCACGTAGATTGCCCCATATCGGTTCTCTTTTCTAGCAAGAATAAAGGATCCACCATCTTCCCGAGGCCGGACTTAACGGTCCTCCTTGTCGTATTGCAATTTACATATGGTTTTGCCCCACCGTCCATCCTAAGTCTGAAGTCGTACCGTCCGAGCCGAGCTGGTATCGACCACCCCCGCCATCCCTTGCAACAAAGGCTACGCGCGCACCTTTTTATCACAAAATGAGGCGAAGTACGCTCGCGCGTAGTCGCGCGCTTGCCGGCATCAGTAAATCAAACCATTGGTTTCGCAGCGATATGTTCAAATCGAGTGTCCAAGAAACGTATAAGGACATATGGTTTCGCGACGCTGGTGTTCAAGAACAGCTTGCACGCGCGCTCATGCGGTTATCTGGGGATTGAGCATGGAACAGCCTTTTCATACAATGCTGCCAAGCGGGTTTCGCGCGCGCATGTCGAACATGTTCGAACGCCCTTGCGCGCGCGCTGTCACCAAAAACTCCCTTCTGCAACCATGGCACGAAGGGCACGCGCGGCGACGCGCGCGCACGCCGAAATCAGGAAAGCACCTGACGTGCCGCACGGATTTCAAAACCGTGTGCCCCGAAACCAAAAAACAAGTGGCTTCGCAACTGTTGTTGTTGTTGTTGTTGTTGTTGTTGTTGTTTCTATTTATAAAACAAAAAACATGCGCATGGGATTCTGCCAAACGGGCTTTTCGCACCGCGTGCCGCAATCATTCGAACGCTCTTGCGCGCGCGTTGAAGGGGGCACGATCGGTGTCAAATAATCCCATGCGGCCAGTCTCGCGCGTCGGCCGCACGCGCATGTCGAACTCCTTCCAACACCTTCATCACCGACGCGAGAACGCGTCATCGTCGCCAGCGTTATCAGCATCGGCGCCGTCAGTGGCCGTGCCGTCGTCGCTGTCAGCATCGTCACCAGCATCGCTACTATCATCTTCGTGTCCTCCGTTGCCGACGTCACCATGATACCGCGCCCGCCCAAGTCGCCGACTCGCACTGAAGTGTCCGGTGGGATGTGCCCAGCGGTCAGCGCCACCATGGCCGTGGCGGTCGCGCCGAGCTAGCTGGCCGCTGCGCGCGCGAGCATGCGCGGGCTAGCGCGGCCACAAGCAACAGCCAATCGCCAAGCACGCATCGCAATCGCCGCCTCATGGAATTTGCCAACCAAGATGCGGGCGGGTAGGTTGGATGTTTGCGCGAGAAGTGGAGTGGGCAACTCACTGCGAGCAGACTTGAACTCTCCTTGCTAAAAGGAAAATAGGTCCCCCCCGGGGGTTACAATGATTGCAATTGCAAGTCGTATTGCAATTTACATACGATTGTGCCCCATCGTCCCTCCTAACTTTGAATTCGCACCATGCCAACCCGGCCAGTATCGACCCCCCCCCGTCATCTTTCGTAAGCAGCCATATGCGCGCACATTTGTTTACCAACAGTCAGCAGTTGCCAAGGATTCCTTGCAACAAATGGGACGAAGTGCGCACGTGCGCGTCGTCGCGCGCGCATGCCGAGATCAGTAAAAAACAAATGTTTGGTGTCGTAAGGATCGTTCGAACGCCTTTGCGCGCGAACTGTCGCAAAACTCCGTTCTGTAAGCAAGGGGACGAAGTGCGCGAGCGCGTCGTCGCGCGCGCATGCCGGAACCAGTCAAAAACTTGACGCGTCGTAAGGATTTCAATGCCGAGTGTCCCGAAACCATATAAAAAACCATGGTTTCGCAGCATCATGTTCCAACGATAGCTTGCGTTCGCGCTGTTTCGAATTCTTACGAAAGCCATGTTTTTTTCAACATGTTCATGGCATTATGCCAAACGGGCCTTTCGCGCCGCATGCCGCAATCATTCGAACGCTCTTGCGCGCGTGCTGGGGGGGGGCACGATCCGTGTCAAATAATGCCATGCGGGCGTCTCGCGCGTCGGCCGCACGTGCATGTCGAACTCCTTCCAAAGCTTTCATCACCGACGCGAGGACGCTGTCATCGTCGCCGACGTTATCAGCATCGGCGCCGTCATTCGCCGTGCCGTCATCGTTGCCAACATCGTCTTCTGCATCGCTACATCATCATCGTGTCTCCCGTTGTCGACGTCACCATGATACCGCGTTCGCGTCGGTCGCGCCGCTGCATGCGCGGGCTAGCGCGGCCGCAGAGATGACCAGCCAATACCAAGCACTCATCGCAATCGCGTCCGCATGGGGTTTTGCAAACCAGGTTGCGGGCGGGTAGGTGGGATGGTTGCGCGAACAGTAGAGCCGACAATTTCAAGTTCGGCCAGGTAAATTGTACAACGCGTATTTCACCACGTACATGTTCGCTGTTGCAAAGGAATCAGGATGTATCCCCCGCCCCCGGTTTTTTGGGCCCCTCTGAGATAGTACTGTGTGCATATGGCTTTGCCCCTTCGTTGATTCCAAAAACGATTTCAGATCATCTAAGCCAAACCCGTTGCCGACCCCCCTCTCGCCCTTGGCAAATAATGTTGTGCGTTTACCGTTCTACCAATGCGAGCCCTGTCCAAGCATCCCTTGCACGAGACGAAACGGAGTCTATACGCGGTCGTCGTCGCGCGCATGCTCGCTTTTGCTCAAGAGCGATCGTTTATATATATAGATATATATATATAGAATTATATATATATACATATATATTATAAGGATTTCAAGATCGAGGGCCCCGTCAACGTTTGGAAAATACCAAACGGTATTGTAACATGATTGATCAAACCAGTGTGCACGCGGGCTCTTGCGAATTAGTGCTAAAACTTTGGGCTTCCAAGATTTGCGCCATATGCTACCACAGGGGCCTCTTCGCGCGCGCATGTCAGAATCATTCGAACGCCTTTGTGCGCTTGGGGTGGGGGTGGGGGGCACGATCCTTGTCGAATAATGCCATGCGGCCCACTTGCGCCCGTCGCCCGCGCGCATTTCGCAATCTTCTTTAAACCTTCATCGCCGACACGTGGACACCATCACCGCCATCGGCGTGATCAGGCTCGGCACCGTCATTGGCGTTGCTCTCGTCATCGCCTAAAACGCCACCAGCATCGCTACTATCATCATCGCGTGTGCCGTTTTCGACGTCGCCATGACTCCGCGCCCACGTGAGTCTTCGGCTCGCACTGATGCGCCAGCGCGGCGTGCTAGACGCGTTGGGGAGTCCCCAGCGGTCAGCGCCACCGCGGCCGCTTCGGCCGCGCAAGACAAGCTGGCCGCTCTGCGCGACGGCTTGCGCGCGCTACCGCGGCCACGACGATTCGCCACACAGCGCCAAGCAGTCATCGCAATCGCCGCCGCATGGGTTTTGCAAACCCGCTTGCGGGTGGGTGGGCGGGGCGAGTGCGCGAGTACTTGTGTCGACAACTTCAAGTTCGGCGGGGTCAATTGCACAACATAGGCGGCCCCCACATTCCCAAAACAATGCTTGCACTTATGTTCCTTCTGCCCCTCTTCCAAGGAACTGGGCCTGTGTGGCGGTTTGGCGGCTATGGTGTCGCCGTCGGCGCCTCGTCGCCGCCCGTCGTCTGGGCTTGTGTGGCCGTGTTGGCGGCTAGGTTGCCGCCGTCGCCGCCCGTCCTTTGGGCCTGTCTGGCGGTTGGGCGGCTTTGTTGTCGCCGTCGCCGCCCTATCGCCGCCTCGTCGCGTTCCCAGATTGCAAACCGATGGCCTGCAATGTTTGGCAGTCTGCGTGGTGCAATATACGCTGCGCAACTGATGTGGTGCAGTAGTATCTAATTTGCAACCCACGTGGTGCAAAACGATACGAGTCCATCGATGTTGTGCAAGCTATGTGGCACAGTTCAAATGCTGCAACCGACGAGGTGCAATTCACAGTGTGCAACCTTTGTGGTGCAACACAGAATTTGCAAAATAGTTTGTGCAGTCTACGTTGCGTAATACATGCCATGCTCTAGACAAATATGTACTGTGCAATGCAAGTTGTGCTATTTTTGCACTTTGATCTATATGTAATATGTATGTTGTGCCAAGTAGGTTGTGCAGTGTAAGCGGTGCAGTCTATGTGGTGGTGCAACCTCCGAGGTGCAATCTATGGGTGGGGGGGCATTTGGTTTGATATCCCACCCCCGAGTGGTCATAGACAGGCTGGCCGCACGCATTCGCGACCGAATGTGACCCTTGCTTGCGCGCATGATTGAACGAAACCGCCTGTGTTCGGCGCAGGCGAGCAGAGGCGGCCTCTGTCGGCGCGCTGGCGCGCATGAGTTTCCCTCGTCTATGACCGACGGGTCGCGGTGTATATTTGCGGGCCCCGCGGTGGAGGTCCACGGACCACGGAAGGTCCATTCCAACGGTGTTTGCACAAGGTTTGTGAATAGTTGGTCGGGTTCCAACCCTTCGAGAACCCTTTTCTGGATGTTGGGAAGAATGCCCAGATATCCCGACCCTCTCCCAGGGCAAAGGCCTTGGGCAGTTTGTGGAAGGTCCCGGGCCCCAGAAGGGCCTACGGAGGCCGAAGGGCTGAGGAACAGCGCGGGCATTATGACGCCACGAGTTCCTCCGCATCCTGCTGCACAAGTGCCACGTGAACCGCTACAACATCGTCAACCAGGTCGGGCTCATCGCCTTGAACTGTCTCGGGGAGGTGCTCGGCCCAGACCTCGCGACGGGACGCGCGGCCGCGCCGCCCGAGCCGCCCGAGCGAGTGTGCAGAACTCCGTGGGCCGAATCGAGCCGAGAGCGCCCGCAGGCCCGAAACGAGGCAGAAAGGCCCGCCACGATTCCTCTCACGGGTCGCATGAAGTCGGGCCTGTCCCTTTACAGGAGGAACAGTGACAAATAGTAAGCCAACAGTTCGTGGACCAATTTTCTTGTATTTTTGGACCTGGTTTGAACATCACTTTTATATGTGTATATATATATATATACACAGTTCGTGGACCAATTTTCTTGTATTTTTGGACATTGTTTGAATATCCTTTATAGATGTATAGATATAAACTTGCGTCGTCCAAATCCGCCTGTAGGAGGACACGCCCGACCGAAGGGTAGCAGGAGGGGGCCCTCGCCCTTCGAGCGGCGCGGGCGCCAGGGCTCGGAGTCGATCGCGGGGGGCGTCGACGCGGTCAGGCCTATGGTCCGTGCTCTCTAACCCCCTACCCACGATAATAATGTACCCCCCCCTTAAGTCGTTAGAGTTTTTTATCGTCGACCAATAAGAGTTTGGTCGGGGGCGCGGGGGCGCGGAGGCCGAACTTCATTATCACGGGAAAAGTTCGCCATCGAGGTTACTCCCCGAAAACCCCGAACTTTACTATCCCTGGGGGTTTATTCTCGTCGGTTCATGGTTACTCCCAGAAAGCTCCGCCCCCCCAACAAAAAGCCTCCCACAACCTTCGCCCACTACTGTGGGGGCGCGCAGGGCGAAGAAGCCATGTGCTTTTCGTCAGGGCATCCTGGGTTTCTTCGCTCCTCGCGCTGCGCGGTGACTTCCCGCAGCCGCTGAAGAAGCTGCTGCGTCCAGGGTTTCCCCTCGGGTGCACCTCGCGTACTGGTTCTCAGGGGTGGGTTTCTTGCGAGGGTTCCTTGCGGCCGCGCCCGCACTGTACGAATGCCACTGCTCGGGATTCGTGCGCTGAGGCCATCTGACAGAATTTGAGGTGGTCAGGCCTATGGTCCGTACGCTTTCTACTTTCAGAAAGCTCCCCCAAAAGAGCCTCCCACAACCTCCGCTCACTATGAGTGCCACTGCTCGGGATTCGCGCGCGGCGGCCATCTGACAGAATGTGACATCCGGTAGCCTCCAGAAAGTTTAGGTGAACGCATTCGCAAGCTTCCAGACTTGCCAGGTGGAGGCCGCCTGATTACGTCTTGTCTCATGCGCGCCCACCTCTATCCCATCCCATCCCGACAGATTGCCCGATCTGACCCCCCCAACTCGGGACGGCGCCGCGGCATCAATCTTAGAAAGGGCGTCTTCTGAGCGCGCTGGGAGGAAGTCAGGGGTGGGGGGGGCCGACCCCCCCCCCCCTCAAAAGTCTGGGGGCGGTTAGGACATCCCCCCTCCCCCCTCAAAAGTCAGGGGGGGGGGTCCGACCCTCCCCCCTCAAAAGTCGGGGGTGGGTTAACCCTACCCCCCACCCCTCGGTGCTGGCGAACGACGATGACGGCGACGACGTCGTGGTCCAGTCGACGACGACGACGATGACGACAACGACGACGGCAACAACGACTTATCCCGCCCGCCCGACCGACCGACTCGCCCACAACGACGTCGACGACGTGTCCCGCCCGACCGACCGACCGACTGACCGACCGACGCCTGGCCAGGCTGGCAAACGGGATTTTGCATCAGCGACGCGTACATAGAAGACGCCGTCTTCAGTATGAGGCCAACCGCGCTCCCCGTGAAGACAGGCCTGCCCCCCCCCCCCCCCTCCCCCTCCCCGCGTTCTCCCCCCCACCCGGTGAAACAATTTGCTGTTCGGCCAATTTTGCTGTTCGGCTTAGTCTGCGTGGGCAGATATCTGTAAGCTTGTGTGGCATGCCATCGATGACAGAGGCATGGCATCAATGCGTACACGTCGCGCTCTGATATCCTTGCTGGTCGCATCACGGCCCTTGCTTAGCTCGGTAATCAGTTAGGCGACCAATTTGACAAGCAAGCCGCCGAATACACCCGCGTGTCTCAGCCGCATACCGTCAGAGCTTCAAAAGCCAGTCCAAGGTTGTGTGCTCTCTCACGCGGTAGGTCGGCCTTTGTGAGCCTCCGATTGTTGACCTTGACTGCGAGCATGTGCCGGCATCCAAACGTGTGAGGAAGCCGCGTTCAGTGGTCCCAGCGCTGCTAGTGATTCCTCCCCCTCCACTGGTCGCCGAGGTTGACAGCAGAGCCGATGTCGATCGCTGCTCTGAGGAGAGAGGGTCCTGCCACTCACAGGGCGAACCCTTTTAGTCTCTCGGGGGGGGAGGCGGGGAGTCGGTGTGTGTGTGTGTGCCCATTGTGGCGCTGGCGAAGTTGTGATCCCCAAGCTCTTTCTCTAGGAGTGCCTCTCCCCCAGTGGATTCAGAATGGGGCAAGAGTTAAGTCGGGCCTGTCCCTCTACAGGAGGAATCTTCAAACATAGTCCAGAAATTAGTCTCGGGACGATTTCTTGAGTTGTTTTTGATAATGTGTTGCATCGTTTTGCATCTTTCTATTTTTTCGTCCAAAATCCGCCTGTAGGGGGACACGCCCGACTCAAGGCAAGAGAGCTTGGCGAGGCCTTGCCGAGGGTGTGCACAGGCAGGGCAGGGAGGGGCTCGCTCTCTCCCGGCGCCCTGGCTCCCTGGGAGAGGAGCGGTCGAGGCTCGGACCCCGGCCGCCCCCCGTGGGAGGGCACCCCGTCGCGGGCCCCCCTCGACCGCATGTCGCCCCCAGTCGAGGGCGACAGGAAGGCCGTCCTGACGGGTGTTCTCCAGGGGCGTTTGCCCTGATTGGGGCTCGTGGGGGTCTCATGGGCGCCCACGGCGTGCGCAGGAGGAGGGCGAGGAGGATGCGGGAGGACACGAAGGAGGGAGGCATGGTTTGAAGGGCGGGGCTGACCGATCAGGACGCTTGAGGTGAGTGGAGTGCGAAAGGTGGCAGGCACTTCGCACGAGGGCCATGCATGCCAGTCGGGGCCGCGGCAAGCTCGAAATCGTTGCTGGCGGCGGTCCGCCTTGGGGACGCGGGGACGCATTCACCGATCCGTAGTTACCATGCGAATCACAATGTCAAAAGCAAAGGGGAGGAGGTGGAATATGAAGGTGCTGGAGGATGAGGATGGATAGTGGATTCGGAGGGGGGAGAAGCTGGAGGAGAAATAGTTCGAGGAGGAGGAGGAGTGCGGAAGTGGAGAAGGAATAGGAGGAGAAGGAGGAGGAGGGGGAGGAGGAGGAGGAGAAGGAGAAGGAGGATTGAGAAGACTGAGAGGCCGAGGGAGGAAGAGGAAGAGGAGGAGGAGGAGGAGGAGAAGGAGGAGGAGGACGAGGAGGAGGAGGAGAAGGAGGAGGGGAGAGACGTTGGAAGACCCTTCCCCTTATTTCCATCGCTGTCGCCAGTGTCGTTCCGTTCGTCACCGCCATGGTCGGCACTGCCGTTCGCGAGTGACACCATTGGTGCATTACTTTCCTGTTTGCGATGCCTGTCGTCGTCTTATATTCACCTGTTCCTCGTTCTATTATGTTTCTCGCTCCTCTTCCTCGTCTTGTTATTCCCTCTCCTCCATTTCCTTTCTACTCTCCTACAGTACTGCTAGCTCTCCTCATCCTCCTCTTCCTCCTCCTCCTTATCCATATCCTTGTCCATCCCCTCCCATCCCCGTCGTCCGTGCTCTCCCCTGCGCCCCGCGGTGCAGCCAAGGAAGGCACATTATCGTTCACCCTCCTCCTCCTCCTCCTCCTCCTCCTCACCCTCGGCACCCTCCTTCTCCTTGCCCCGCTCCTTTCCTCCCCCCGCCCCTTCCTCCCAACCCCTCCCCCCCGCCCTTCCATACACCATCTAATTCCTCCTCGTCCCCTCACTCCATCATTCCAGACCTTTCATCCTCCACCTCCGTCCTCTTGCCCTCTCGGGTGTCCTGGCCCGTTTCGGGATCTCAGGGCAGGGAGTGGCCTCCTGTTACCCATCGGCAGTTGAAAGTAGGTATATCTGGAGCCCCAGATCCCAATCCACTTCAAGAAGCGCCGTCCCACTTCAATGATCGAGTGGCTCCACCTTTTCTGTTCTCCTTGGGGGGCGGACGGAACCGAAGTCTACTTGCAACGCCTTCCTGCTTCGTGTTTCTACCCACATCTTCCGACCGCTGGGCACACCTCCGCCGCACTCCTACAGTCGGGGCGCTGAAGAAGGAACCCTTTTCGTTGGGGAGGGGCTGCGTGTTCCTTAATCGTTTCGCAGCTTGCCTTGGGTTTCCTCAGGTTCTCGATACGAGATCGAAGTTTAGCTTATGGAAGACAGGGGCCTCGTTCCTTATTTCGGGCTCCTTAGGTCAACGCCCCGACTGCACATCCCAGCAGCTTCCGGAGGGGAGGCAGGGACGGGCCGCGCACCGCCGGGCCGTGGTGCTGCGCACCCTCCGCACGGTGTGCCGCGGCCCCGTCCGATGGGCCTGCCGCGCACACGGCGGTGACGGGTGCTCGGCTACGTGCGGCTCCGAGCCTATGGTGCGTCACAGTCGTGGTGCACTCTGTGCTTCTGCTTCACAGTCGTGTCGCACTCCGTGTTCGGTCGCGCGCCATCGCAACCCCGAGGTGATTTTTTTTACCCCCTACAGGCAGGCGCGCCGCCGAGCATCAGTTCGATAGCGATCCGGATGCTTTTGCCCACGCGTCTTACAGATGCACGGCTTCTGACCACCGTTGACTCAGGGTGGGAACCGCGTCGTGCATTTTGGCTATGGCCTCGGGCCGTCCACGAGCAGATCGCCGCGGCCGTGTGTCCACATCGGAGTTTGCCACGGTACGGTCCGTGCAGGGTGAAGTGTACCGTACGCTGGCGTCACTTGATGTGGCGGTGGGCAGCGGTGGCTTGATCAGGCACAGTAGCAATAATATCGACGCCACGACGGTACTCATCGACTTTCCTCCCACCGCCGTTGGCCGTACAGCTACTGCCCGGCGAAGCATTTTCGACATCGTGCTCGCTTGGCTCGGTCAAGAGCTTCGTTCACGACCTTGCCGCTCCACGCAGCTGGTCTACGCTGACCTACATGACGCCTTATTATTCGAGCATGGGGCCCCTCACGTCGGTACCAGGGAGCACAATCAACATCCTATGGGGAACGCTGGTCGTGACCTTCCTTCAGCGCAACTGCTTGTGCTGCCCCGACATGTTTTTCAACGCTGTCCCCACGTATTTCAACAGTCTTGGCACCCGCACGCAGGTGCGTTGCATGATGGTGAGGCCAAGGCGACGGCTACTCTCGACATCGCTTTTCCTTGTATTACTCCTCCTGGGCGTGTTTGTATTACTCCTCGATGGTTTTTCCGTTGTCGACTTCTGGGCTGCGAGATAACTTGTTCCGTGACGTCGAACACGCCTTGTACGGAATCCAGTTTTTGTGTGTGGCCTTGATGTACCCATGGCTGAAGAGTGATACCGAGCCCTAAGTACGTGACGCCGTGTTCCTTGTTGCTGTCAAACGCTTTTCAAACATTATGGTGCTCACGATCCTGAGGCGGTGGTGCTTCGTCGCAAGGTCCGTCAACTGGTCGACATTTGTGGGCGTCTCCGCTTTGCCAGCGCGTGCGACGCCCGCCGCGACAGCCAGATCCGCGATCTCAATGCGCGCCTGAAGGGCGAAGTTTGGGTGTGGAGGCAGGCTCTCAGATGCCCATGGAACCATGACTCACATGAAGCTTGAACATATCGCAAGATGGCCGCTGCCCAATCCCGCTCGATACGACTTGCCGCTATTGGACTTTGGCCCAAGCGACGCGCGTACGGCGCCGGTCTGAGACGAGTTCCAACATCCAGGAGCTCTCCGAGCAGCTCGCTTTCCTTGGCGATCGCGGCGGCATTGCGGCGCGACCTTTGCAGCTTGGCCAGTGCAAGGCTCGGCGCGCTGCCCTCCTCCCGGGTGGACCAGCAAGCGATTGCCAGGCTGCTGAGGGGTTGGGCGCCATGGGCCTTGAGACAGCGGCCCAGGTGCTCAAGCGCGCCGCCCGACGACCAGCATGTCTTAGTTGGTCTTCCCCGGGCGAGCCGGCGGCTCACCGCGCTGGCCCCTCGCCACCTCAGTCGGCGGAGGCGCCGCGCTCCACGCGCTGGTTCCGAGCGCGACGTCCCCGACGCCCTGGGAGTCACGAACGACTCTCTCTCTCTCTTTCTCCCCCTCTCTCTCTCTCTCTCTCTCTCCCTCTTTCCCCCTCTCTCTCTCTCTCGCGACGGCCTGGCGCCCGTGGGGCCCGCGTGGCAAGCCCACGAGGCCGACGGCGGCGCCACCCATCTCGCCATCCATCTGCATGGGTCGGCGTCCTCCCGCCGCCGGCGCGAAGAGAAGCGCCCAGTCCAGAGATGTGTTGCGTCGACGGGGCCACCGCCCGGGCAGCGCGCCCGAGCATCTAAGATGCTCCGCGCCCCTCGGCGCGGCGGCTCCCGCCGAGCGCGCCTGCGCCCCCCGTCGTCGACGCGACAGGCGCGGCTGCTGTCCACGGCGTAGTCTCCAGTCTCCTCCTCCTCCTCCTGCCTCCTCCTCCTCCCCTCCTCCCCCTCCTCCCTCCTCCTCCTCCTCCTCCTCCTCTCCTCCTCCTCCTCCTCCTCCTCTCCCCTCCTCCCCTCTCTCCCCCCCCCCTCCTTCTCCCCCTCCTCCTCCCCCCCCCTCCTCCCCCTCCTCTCGAGAGCGCAGTGCATGTCCTGGAGACTACGCCGTCGACAGCAGCCGCGCGTTGTGGGGCATGACTGCGCGGCCAAGGCCCACGTCGGTTGCGAGCATGGCCTCGCGAGTGAGTCTTGGGAGAATTTCCCCCGAGCGGTGCTTGCCCTGAAGTGTTCTTACTTCTGCTCTGAGGTAATGGGGCCCCAATGGCGGTTCGGCCGATTCGTCGCCGCCCGTCGCCGCCGTCGCCGTTGGGTCCCAGTGGCGGCCCAGTCAGCTCGTCGCTGCCCGGCGCCGCGTTGCGTTGCATTGTTTTGGATTGCGCTGCGTTGTTCTACGTTGCTCTGCATGGTTGTGCATTGGTTCGCATTGTACTGCATTCCTTGTTGCAAGTATTCGAATTGTTTCGCATTGCTTTTCTTTTGCGTTGCGTCGCATTGGTTTTCATTGCGTTGCATTGATATGCTTTGCGTTGCTCTGCGTTGCTGCGCATAGCTTTGCATTGTGTGGCATTGACTTGCGTTGATTTGCGCTGTTTGTGCTGATGTGGATCGCATTGCTTTGCATTGATGTTCGTTGTCTCGCGTTGTTCTGCATGGCTGCGCATTGATTTGCATGGTTTTGCAGTGCTCATCTGTTCCTCGCGTTGTCCCGCGTTCCATCTTTTTGCGCTGCATTGTTTTGCATTGCGTTGCTCTGCACTGTGCTGCCATTGCTTTGCGTTGCTTTGCAGTGCCTTGAATCGCATTGCTTTGCCTTGCGTTCGATCGCGTTGTGCCACATCGATTGCGCCACCGAGGTTTCGCCGCACATTGTGCAATGCATCGCTGTTTGGGGCCCGCGGTGGCTCGCATTTTACGCCGGGCTGATTCTGCATTGCTGGAGGGCCGTCGCCGAGCACGCCTTCATATCTGAAGGCCGTCGGCGGATGCATGCATCTACACTTGACAAGTGGTGCCTTGGTGAGCGAGTCGACAGCTCCTGGCGAATTCGGCATGGGCAGTGGCAAACCTGTCAACACCTGGCGCCATCGGTCACCTCGGCCACTACTGCAGCTCATGCGCCTGCTGGTCTGGCACCCTTGCGACGCGCCCTTCAGCCTTCAGCCTTCACATCGGTGATGTCCGCGATTTTCTTTTTGCCACCCGCAGGCTATCCACGCAACGCGGTCTACATCTGCGGCTGCAGAGCAAGCCGCGAATGCTAAGTGCCTGGCTGAGTACGGCTACGTGCCTACGTCAATGCGGAGGCACTGGTGCCGTCGTCCCAGTGGTACCATGACAGTCGTCTCGATGACGCCGCTGTCGGTGGCGCGCGAGTCCTTCATGCGCGTGATACCTCGGCCCGTTCCCGGTTCGTGGATGGGCCCCCGCCCCTACGCGCGCGCCCGTCAGGTCAGACAGCGACGGTGTCTCCTTGCCGAGTCTTTAAGGTGGTTGTGGTTGGACAGTTATGGGTAATTTCTTCCTTTGGTCTCTCTTCTCCGCCAGAGCTGTTCGATCGACCGCGTAATCCCGACTCAAATGAAAGGGGCCGCCGCTGTCTGGTCCGAGCCGCGTCGCACATCTACTTACTGTATGGAGAATAGAAGGCCCAGCAATCTACACATTACTGCTGCCATGCTTTCTCTCAGACGGTTTCCAGCCAGCAGTTCTAGTTCCTCCTCCTCCTTCCCCATCTCCTGTTCCTCCTTCTTCTGTTCCTCCTCCTCCTCCTCCTCCTCTCTCCTCCTCCTCCTCCTCCTCCTCCTCCTCCTCCTCCTCCTCCTCCTCTCTCCTCCTCCTTCCTCCTCCTCCCCTTCGACCTCGCCTCCTCCTCCCTCCTCCTCCTCCTCGTCTTTCTTCCTCCTTTTCCTCCTCCTCCTCCTGCTGTCTCCTCCTCCTCCTCCTCCTCTCCTCTCCTGCTCTTCCTTCTTCTCCTTCTTCCCCTTCTCCCTTCTCCTCCTTCTCCTCCTCCTCCTCCTCCTCCTCCTCCTCCTCCTCCTCCTCCTCCCCCCCTCCTCCTCCTTCTCCCCGGCGCCGCCGCTCGCAGGACCCCCGCCGCCACACCCCGCGCTGGCCCGCTCTCCTGGCGACGCGCCGCGGGACCACTGGCCCGCGGCGGGCAGCCGCGCCGCGCCGGCGCCGCCGGCGCAGGCGGCGGCCGCGCCGGCTGCCGCCGCAGAGTCGATCCAGGCCGCGGGCTCGGTGCGCTCGGCTTCGGCCGCGACGCGGCCTCGGCCTCGAGTCGTCGGCCTCGGGCTGGCCCTGGATCTCGGCGTCGCCCAGACGTGGGCATTTTTGCTAGGCCTCCAGATGGGGTCCGAGTAGATGGGGTCGGAGGATCGCGCCGCATCGCCGACGCATCGGCGATGCGGCTCGATGTGGAGCCTGTGATTCCCCACGCCGACGTCGGCGATGCATCGCCGACGTCCCCGATGCATCGCCGATGCATCGCCGATGCATCGCCTATGCATCGCCGATGCATCGCCGATACACCGGCGATGCACCGGCGATGCGGCGCGATCCTTCGATCCCATCTGCTCGGAACCCATCTAGGAGGTGCCTATTTTCCCGGCGAGGACCACCATCGAGGAACATCCTGGATATCAGCGGGCCCGGAAGTCGCGCGCGAGGCCGCGAACCAATGCCAACTGCAAGGGGAGTGGGTGTAAGAGCGTCGCAGCATGCGGCCGCGCCAGCGGCCGCCGCCGCCGAGTCGATCCTGGCCTGAAGTTGGGCACGTCCCTCTGCAGGAGGAATATTCAAACATAGTTTTAAACACATCGTCTGGTGGAGATTTCCCATTATTTGTTGGATCATTGTTGAATATGTTTTGACCACTGATTCTTCTTCGCCCGAAATCCGCCTGGAGGACATGCCCGACCCAATCCCGGCCGCGTGCGGCGGCCCGCTCCGCTCCAGCAGTCCAGCTCCTCGAGCGGGCGACCGACTGCGAGGCAGGCGGCGGCGGCGGCGACGGGTGACGGGCAACCGGGTGGGGTCCTCCGCGCGGCAGTGCCACGACGATGAACACAGGCACCTGGCTCTTCGATTTTTATAAATATATATATATATATATATATATATATATGTGTGTGTATATATATAGATATACATATATATATACATATAACGGCGCACCGGGTTCGGGGGCCCGGGGCCGGGACCCCGACCACAAATGTGAGCCCCGGGGGGCCCGGAGGCTCGTCGGGGCTTGCCGGATGCCTCCCCAGTCAGACAAGACGGCCCAAGAAGCGCCCAAGACGGCCCAAGAAACTTCCAAGAGGCCTCCAAGAGGGCTCCAAGATGCTGAAGATGGCCTCCAGACGTCCAAGGACGCCCCTAAGACGCCCCAAGAAGCTTCCAACATGCGTCCCAAGAGGGCCCCTAAACGCAAACATTGGCCCATTCCCTTCGTAAAACGTACATTTTTCACAAAGTTGCTTTTTGGGCTTTCCGACGTTACAGGACGGCCCACGAGGCGCCCAAGACCGCCCCAAGACGGCCCAAGAAGCTTCCAAGAGGGCCCAAGGACAGCCCAAGAGGGCCCCAAGACGGCCCAAGAGGCGCCCAAGATGGCCCAAGAGGGCCCCAAGACGGACCCAAGAGGGGGCCCAGAGGGGGACCACGAACCGCAAGCTCGAGCCTTCCGCCCCAAGAGGCCGCCAGGAGGCCCCAAGGAGGCCCCTCAAGAGGCCCCAGGAGACCCCCAAGAGGCCCAAAGGAGGCCCCGAGAAGCCCCAAATCGGCCCCCAAAATGCTTCGAACCTGCTTCCAGGAGGCCCCCGACAGGTTCAGAGGCTCCCGAGAAGCTACGTCAAACTCCCAGCGATAATGATCCTAGCTAGAACCTAAGCGCGCGCGAAGCGCGCGCGTGGTTCTAGTATATATATATATATATATATATATATATATATATATACCGAGGCGCCCAGATTGTGTTCTTTTTTGGGGGAGCGTAACAGAAACACCGGGGGCGGAACACCGTGTCATGGGGAGGGGAGAGGTCCAGGGTCCCAGACAGCAAGCACACTGAAGCGCTGGGCGTCCAGCCTACAGCCTCCCTGCCAAGGAGGGTCGAGTGTCGAGGCAGTCTCGGCCTCTTCTCCGTGGGGTGAAGCAGGGCGTCCCACCTTCTGTCAAGCAGTGGCGAAGCGTCCTGCCTCGCCTATAGGCCCACCAAAGAATTGTCGAAGAACCGCTTGTGGTTTCCACGAAATGTTCTTAGAACAGGTCTGGCTGGGACTGTCTTGATTTTAACACATTGGGCTTATTTTCTGGGAACATGGTTTTTGTTATTGGAACATGTGTGGGTTCTAAGAACATTTCGTGGTAGGCCTATAGGAATGCTGGGACGGTCGGTCCCTGATCAATTATGGTTCCAACCCATCGGCGAGAATCGGGTCCCACCCATCGGATCCCACCCATCGGGTCGCACCCATCGGCTCCCATGCCATAGGGTCCCATGCCATGGGGCCCACGCCGTATGATCCCAGCCATAGGGCCCCACCCAAGATTGCACCCCACACATGGTGGACGATGGGTTGCAATCCGCAGGCTGCCCGCAACATATAACATCCTGTACGTTGCACTCCAGAGACTGCGCCTCTAAGTTGCCCCACTCCTCCATAAGTTGCCCCCGCGGGGGTACCCCCCCATAAGCTGCACCCGCTGGGTCGCGCACCCTATGAGCAGCACCCCACATGCCGCTCTCCCAAACGAGGCACCCGATCCCCAAAACATGGCGCAACGCAGATTGCATCCAGGAAGTTGAATTTCTTCTTGGGGGCATTCAGCGGACTTGATTAAGCGTCTGAGATCCACGCGTCATCGCTTTTGCTCGAATAGGGGATTGGCTACATTGTTGTTGATTTACATCAAAATTATTTTTCTCGCCGAACGCAGGACACGTAAACGTTCGTATAATGTTCGTAGAACGAGCGCTCTACGCTTCGTTCATGGATTCGACGACAAAATAATTCCGGGCATGCATCAATTCTGTAGTCGATTCTCTATTCGAGTTGCCACCCCCTTTTCGGAGGAGACGAACGCCACGTCGGCTGGAGCCTGCCGCCCTAGACGAGGAAGTGGCGTCTTCCCGCACGCCCCAAGCCCTCCGGGTGCCGCGCGCAGAAGCGCAGCGTTTGCCCTTCGCTGTGTGGGCCCCTCGGGGGGGCTGTGTTCAGGGCCTCGGGCGATCCAAGAGCGACTCGCGCGCCGCCGGGGAGCCAGCCTCGGGGATGGGGGGAAGAGTTCCAGGGCACACATCGCTCCTCCTCCTCCTCCTCCTCCTCCTCCTCCTCCTCCTCCTCCTCCTCCTCCTCCTCCTCCTCCTCCTCTCCCTCCTCCTCCTCCTCCTCCTCCTCCTCCTCCTCCTCCTCCTCCTCCTCCTCCTCCTCCTCATCCTCCCTCCCCCTCCTCCTCCTCCTCCTCCCCCTCTGTCCGGGGGCGTCCGAGAGCGGGATCAGGACTAGGGGCTTGCAGCCTCATGGTGCCGATGGCGCGCACGTGGAGCTGGTTCCGCACCCGGCAGCGGCCGCATGCCGTCCCTGTCGAGGGCCGTGCTGCCGGTGGGATGCGAGTCTTTGACTCCCCTTCCATTTTCTTTTTCCGCAGGAGGAGGAGGAGGAGGAGGAAAAGGAGGAGGAGGAGGAGGAGGAGGAGGAGACGGAGGAGGAGGAGGAGGAGGAGGAGGAGACGGAGGAGGAGGAGGAGGAGGAGGAGGAGCAGGAGGAGGAGCAGGAGGAGGAGGAGAAGCTGACGCGTCCACACGCAGCCTCCCCCCATTCACCTCCCCCCCTCCCTGAGGCGCACCAGCACCATCCTCACCGGGCGCTCGCCCTCGTGATGCCCGCCTCTCCGCTCTCGTTGCCTCCTGGGCTCTGTGTTCCCCCCCCCCACAGGCACGGCCGGCCGGCGGGGTGGGTGGGCCGCATCCGCTCGGGGAGCCAGCGGCCCGCAGCTCGAGGCTCGCAGGTGGCACGTGACGCTAGGAGGAGGATGAGAACAGCAAACACCGGCGGTCCCTGCTGAGGACGAGGCCACCTACGATCCCAGGACGCTCGAGCGCATACAGGCCCTGACGGCGGCCAAGCGGAGGGCGGTGGAGGCAGAGGACTTCGGCGTCCCGCAGAAGGGGACGAGGTGAGGGAGGCCATCTCCCAAGAAGGGAGGGGGTTTGTCAGAAGCCCCCCCCGCTTTCCCAGGAAGCCTGCTTGGAAGCCTCCTCACTCGTCTGAGAAGCCCACCGCCTTCTTGGCAAGGCCCCCCTCCCTCGCCCCAACCCCCTCCTTGTTCGACGCCACAGAGGACTACGAGGAGGCCAAGCGGTGCAAGGACATGCTCGCTCGGCTGAGGCGCCCGAGCCCCCCTCTGCTGGTCGGGTGCTGCCAGAGGGGTCCCTGGCCCAAGGTGTCCTCAGGATTTCCGAGGAGGCCCCCGCGGCCTCTACAGTATCAGCGTTTGCGTGCTAAAGCGTTTTCTTTTGCGGAGCTGGGCCCCCTGGCGCGAATGGCCGAACGACCCTCGCAGCGGGACACCCTGGCGACACGGCTGCCGCCGCAAAAGTTGTCGGTTTAACGCTTGCACCGGCCCCAGGAGCTCCAACACGGAGCGAAGAGCAGAGGGGCTTTTTGGACCAGAGGCCAGCAACACCTTCAGCAACCCCGGACCGGGCCTGGCCGTGTTGCACCGTCAGCCCCTCCCGTTTTCAGCCACTGTTACCTCGCTTCCTCGTAGCTCTCACCTCGGCCCTGTTTGGCGAGGCAGGTCAGTTTCCATTGGGAAAGGGGGCAGTGATGATGGTGAAGATGATGATGGTGATTATGCGGATGATGCCATGCTGCTGATGATGATGATTGTGATGCTGATGGTGCTTGATGATGATGGTGGTGATGCTGATGCTGCTGCGGATGGTGATGGTGGTGCTGATGACAGATTTCGATTTTGTGTTTCGTTGATGATGAAGTGATGATGAAGCCATGTCGAGACCTATATGAATTGATGATGATGGTGATGGGGATGAGGATGTTACTGGCGATGATTGTGGTGATGAGTTGGTGGGCTGATGTTGGTGGTGACGATGGTGGCGATGATAATGATGCTGCTGATGGTGATGAGGATAGACACTACGCGTTTTGATCCTTATGACCATAACGACGATGTTGATTCTGCCCACGGCGATGATGAATCATAATGATGGAGATGAAGGTGATGATGGCTGTACTGCTGATGGTGCTGATTGTGTTGATGGTGATTTGTTGTTGAGGAGGAGGTGGAGGAGGAGGAGGAGGAGGAGGAGGAGGACGACGACGAGGACGAGGACGGCGACGAGGGGGGAGGAGCAGCAGCAGCAGCATGAGGAGCATGAGGAGCAGGACCAGGACGAGCACGAGGAGCATTGAGGGGAGGAGCGGAAGGTGTAGGAACAGGGTGGACGAGAGATGGCAAGTATTCGATCGAGCTTGGGCCTTGGTGGCTGAGCGTCCGCCCCTGCGCACGTCCGGGCGGGGCCGCGAGCGTACGCCGAGATGGCCCGGCTACGTTGGTCACGCGCGGCGAGCCTCGAACTGCGCGCCCGCCTGGTGGGCGCCGCTGCGGCGTGGCGAGGATTGGGGCGGGGGACTGCCGAAGGCGCTGGCGGAGGCAATCATCTCGAGGCGCCATCACCTCGAGGCGCTCGTGGCGAGGCTGGGTGGCCAGGATCTCGGTGGATCCAGAGGGGCTCCACCGGGTCACTTCGTCCGCTCGGCGTGGACGTCGCGCGCCGCAGGTCGCTTCAAGCCGTCGGGCCTCGAACCTAATCGAGGGCCGAGTCCAGTCGAGGGCGCGCTCCTCGCAGGCACCGCCGCCGACGTGTCGGGCGGACCTGCACTCGGGTGGAAAGGGGCGATGGACCATGGGAGGAGCCTGCGGCCGCTGGTGGGTTGCATCCGTCAGGTCTCCCCGCGGGGGCGGGGAGATGCGGCCAGGAACTCTGGCCTAGCGCGTCGCGCTGCGAGTTCTGGCCCACCACGCCTCGGCGCGACACGCTTTCCACCACGTGGTCCCAGGGCGTCCACGTCCCGAGCAATTCCGAGCTTGCCGCCACGCGGAGCGGAGCGACACGCTATCCGCTTGCAAGGCATAGCGTGTCGCCGGGGCCGCCGCCGCGACACTAAGCAACAGTTCCTGACCGAAAGTACTCGCGCTCGTCGCCTCTGGACAGCAAGTCTACAAAACCATAAACTCTCGGAGATTCGCGAAGACGTTTGGGGTCGGCGCCAGAGGCGCCGTCAGGGAGGGGGGACCAGAGTAAACCCAAGAAATCCACCCGGCCGTGCAACAACTAGAATGTAGGCGGCCTTGTCGGGATCATTCGAGAAGTGGTGTTGTCTACCTGGCCTACTCGGCCACCGTGGACTGGTGGGCTTCAGGGGGTCTTCGGGGGGCCTCCCAGTCTTTCCCATGGGCCTCCTGCACGGGGCCCGCCTGCCTAGCGCACCCTGTGGGCACAGAGCGGCCAAGGGACAGCCGAGATTGCAAGCAAAAGGCACACATGCCAAGGATCGTACAGACCTGGAGGTAGACTCACCAGGCAGCGAGATGGCTTAAATGGGCCTTAGATGAGCTCCAGCAGAGCCTTCTCACAAGGGTCAGGTCGAAGATCTTGAGTATGTGATGGTTTGTTTTCGTTGTTTTGCCGATCGGCGCAGGTCCTCGCACCCCCCATCCCCCCAGCCCCCATGGAGTAGATCTTGGCTGTTTTTGGCGCCTGTTTCGAGCAGGTGGAGTCTCCCCCATGTCTTCCGCCCAATGTCGAACCGCCGAATAAGAAGACGCTCACCATTGGAGATCGTCACGCTGAGCCCCGTCGCGAAGATCGTGAAGACCGCCACGAGTAGCGTCGGGGGCAGGGTGTGGTGCGGACAGCGTGCGCTACTCTAAAGTGAGCTGCGCGTTGCATGTGAGTCGGAACGAGCGTGCATCCGCGGCTGCTTGGCTCAAAGCGGCCGGCCGCCCAGATCTGACTATTACACCTCAGCGCGAGGTGTACTATTTGCCATCGATACCAAAACACTGCTTGAGATGGCTCGCCCCCTACTACTGGGACTATCGCTACTGCGGTACAACAGAGCAGGAGCTGGGCTTCGCCTAAGGCGAATCTGTTGGTTGGGCCTCCCGACCCCCTTTCAAACTTGGTAGCGGAGCTGGCCTATGGCGGTCAGCTCTAGCTCTACTCCTCACCATCCACGGCACTATCTGGTGGACTACAGACGTGGTGGAACATCAGGGCGCAGTGCGTTTGCGCGGAGGAATGTATATAACTACGCAGTATAGCAAGGACACTTGCAGTGACACCTACATCACTGCGCTACTACACTCCTGAAGTCCCCCCTACTCCAATTTGAAACTTCTTCGAAGACATAATGCATGGAAGCATGCGGTACGATACTGTGCCGCCTCCACCCCTGCGCAGATTTACGACTACACATCGAAAACCCCAACCGACGACATCCGACCACGACTTGCGAGGCCATTGGATTCGTATTGTTATCTTTGGGCTCACATGGGTCGCCATCGGGTGTGCGGTAGGACATATGCTTGGCGGAGACGGCACAATAACGACCTTCCCTCATTGGGACCCAGCCGGTCAAGTACGTTTCCGCGAATTCGTCCGCGAGGTACATGCCTGGATCAACGTGACCACAGGCAGCACGACGCCCTCCCAACAACTTGCAGCCCTGCAGCGAGGTTTGGGAGGCTTCGCGCGGACCAGAGCCATGAGAGTCCCCCCAACAGTTATCAATTTTGGCGTTAACACCGGTGGCCGCCATAACGACGGCGTCACCTACATCATGTTCCCCTTAAGCACGAAGTTCGAGAATTCAGAAGAGGAGCGCCAATTCAAGTCTGGTGCAGCTCTCATTGACTTCCGAGTTCATGCTGGGAGCGAATCGGCCAGACGTTGGCACGCTTCGAGATAGCCCGCTACGAAGCTGAAACGGCAGGCTTTGACATCTCCAACTTCCAAATCTTAACCGTTATTTTATCCAGAGCTCTTAGAGTGGGGACATCGCGTGCACAGCAACTCCTGCAGCCACTAAACCACCACATGCCGAGAGACCACCAGCAGCTTGACGCTTTAATTGAACGCATGAAATCATATGCACACGTTGCTGAAAGAACCCCTGGCAATATTGGTGGTGCATACACCGACGCGGCCAGGCATCGTCGAACAGGTCGGCCCCTCGGCGATGGGCTCCTCGTCGCAGGGGCATGGCAGCACAGTCATCACCACCATCACCCATCATCCACCACCCACCATCCAGCATGACCGTCCTTATTCATCATCGTCCTAAGCATCATCACCATCGTTGGCACTGTCATCGGCATCATGATATGTAGCCTCTAATATCGTCACCATCAGCATCATCACCTTCACTATCATCATCAGAATCATCATCACCGTCATCATCATGGTCATTACCATCATCAAAGTACCAAATCATCGGCTCATCATCGTCATCCGCATCGTCAGCATCACCCGCATCAACTCATCACCATCAGCCCATTATCAGCAGTGTCATCGTCATAATCGTCATCATCGTCACCATCATCTCCAATTTTGCATCATCTACCGTCTATCACCCATCATCCACCATCCATCACCGTTATCATCATAAGCATCATCACAACTACTATCGTTATCAGCATCATCATCCTCATCATCATCATCCTCGTCGTCACCATCATCATCCACCATTCATCATCCATAACCCCTTATCTCATCATCATCATCATCATCACTACCATCGTCATCGCCATCAGCATCAATATCATCATTGTCATATTTTGGCCAACGTCATCACCATCCACCACCCGTCATCCACCATCCATCATCATCGTAGTCGTAGTTGTCGTCGCCGTAGTCACCACCATCACCATGATCGTCAGTTTCATCAACAGCATCACCATCATCAACGTCACCATCAGCATCCATCACAACCATCATCCATCAACCACCGCCCATCGTTCACCATCCATCATCATCATCATCATCATCATCATCATCATCACCATACTTTCTTTCTCCTCCCGCCTCCTCCCTGCTCTCTCCGCCCTCCAAGAGCATCCTTCTCATCCCCCCCTTCCATCTTTCCCCTTTCCTCCCTCGCACCTTCCTTTTCTCTTGCCCCCTCCTCGCCGGTGGAGGCACGTGGGGAAGATGCTCCGCGAGCTGGAGGACAGGAAGAGAGCGTGCGTGCAGAGCGAGGACTACGACGCCGCCAAAGCCCTGAAGGTGGAGATCGAGAGGAGCCCCCCCCCCTCGCGCGCGCACGGAAGACGCTCCTTGATCGCCTCCCCGCTAGAGGACGAGGATTAGGAGGAGGAGGAGGAGGAGGAGGAGGAGGACGAGGACGAGGACGAGGACGAGGACGAGGACGAGCAGGAGAAGGAGGAGGAGGAGGAGGAGGAGGAGGAAGAGGGGGCAGGGGAGGAGAAGTAGGAGGAGGAGGAGGAGGAGGAGGAGGAGGAGGAGGAGGAGGAACAGGAGGAGGAACAGGAGGAGGAACAGGCGGAAGCAGCGACGTGCGCACGAAGGGTCGCGGCCGGGGAGGGGGAGGCCCCGCGCCGAGCCAAGACAGCCGTGCTGACCTCCGAGCGCTGCTGTGCACGCGGGCCTCTTGTCCTTCCAGGGCTGGGCCTCCCCCTCCTCCTCCTCCTGCTCCTGCTCTTCCTCCTCCTGCTCCTGCTCCTCCTCCTCCTCCTCCTCCTCCTCCTCCTCCTCCTCCTCCTCCTGTCCTTCCAGGGTGGGGAGGGGAGCCGTCGCCACGGCCGGAGATGCTCCCCGGGCTCTGGGCGAGAGCGCTCCCCCCGTGGAGAGGTCGGGCGGTGGGCTCTGAGAGGGAGGAGGGCCCGGGCCTCTGGGCTTTTATCGGGGGTGGACAGAGGAGGGCCTGGGCCTCTGGAGGGCCTGGGCCTCTGGAGGGCGTCGGTCGTCGTCGTCGTCGGCGTCGTCGTGGTTCCCAGGCCCCCTCGCGTCGTGAGGACATCCCGACGGAATGCTCTGGCAACTGTTGGCTCCCCGGAGCCCTTGCTGGGCCGGGGGGCCGTCAGCAGTCTGTTCAGGTCGGGGGTGGGCAGAACCCCCAACAGTGACACGTCGATTAGTGAATTGTCCGTTTTCGGTTCTCGAGATGGCGCCGTGGCCGTTATTTTCCAGGCTTGCGCCCGCCAGGTTTGGGCCTCGGGTCGTTTTCACTAAACCACGTTTTACTCAAAGGGGGTCTGTCCATCCCCGATTTTAAGTCGGGCCTGTCCCTCTATACAGGAGGAATGTTCACAAGACATAGTCTGGGGACGATTGGTTTAAGTATTTTTGGACCATGCTGGCGTATTTTTTGAATCTTCTAAATTTCGTCCCAAGGCCCCCTGTAGGAGGACAGGCCCGACTTAATTCTGGACATCGCGGAGCAGTCGCGAGGGACGTTGCTGCTCCCCGATCTGGGCCCCTGGGGCGGCCGCTCCGGATCGACAGGCGGCGAACCGCCGGCCCCGGGGGGCCCCCACTTCGTGGAGCCGGGGGCTCCGGGGCCCACCACGCGCGCGAAGCTCTCCGGGACTCCGGACGGCCGGGTCCTCCTCCTTGGCATGGCGCAGACGTGCGCATCCCAGACATGCGACGTCCTGATGTTTTCGGGACGGCGTCCTGGGAAGTCTCAGCCCTTTCCCCGGGACCGGCTTTTTGTCCTGAGTCGTTTTTTGACGGTCCCGAGGGCCGGCGAGGGCCCCCGAGGGCCGAAAATACTGAACACTTTGCCGTCCTGATATCATGATTGGGATTTTTCTCTCGGCGAGGACCATCGGGACGCATTGTTTTGTCCAACTCAAGCGAACAAAATAGATAAGCGCACGAAGCCGAAGAGAACGCATGGGGAATATTAGGGACGTCTCCGAGCGATGGCGAGCCTTCTGTCCCCTGCCCCCCCTTTGGGAGGCGTGATGGCACAGGCGTTTAGTCGGGCCTGTCCCTCTACAGGGGGAATAATTTCAAATTGTCAAAGAATTATCCCAGTGTGACCCTACCTAGGAGTTGGAACCCCTAGGAAAGCAGCATTAGTAGTAACAGTAACGCTAAGCTAAAGCTAAGCTAAAGCTAAGCTAAAGCTAAGCCACAGCTAAGCTAAAGCTAAGCTAAGTCTAAGCTAAAGCTAAGCTAAAGCTGAGCAACAGCTCAGCTAAAGCTAAGCTACAGCTAAGCTAAAGCTAAGCTAAAGCTAAGCTAAATCTAAGCTAAAGCTAAGCTAAAACTAAGCTACCGCTAAGCTAAAGCTAAGCTCAAGCTAAGCTAAAGCTAAGCTAAACGCTAAGCGAAAAGCTAAGCTAAAGCTAAGCTACAGCTAAGCTACAGCTAAGCTAAAGCTAAGCTAAAGCTAAAGCTAAAGCTAAAGCTAAAGCTAAAGCTCCCAGGGGACTGGGGGAACCGCTTCCAGGGGACGGGGAACCGCCCGGGGCGCTTTCCACTGCCCGGCCCTTTTAAGCTAAGAGAGTAAGAACCCTTCTAGGCAGAGCCTAGGTAGGGAATATTTTCAAATCGTCAAAGATTATCCCAGTGCGACCCTACCTAGGAGTTGGAACCCCTAGGAACGCAGCATTAGTAGTAACAGTAACGCTAAGCTAAAGCTAAGCTAAAGCTAAGCTAACGCTAGTCTAAAGCTAAGCCACAGCTAGGCTAAAGCTAAGCTAAAGCTAAGCTAAAGCTAAGCTAAAGCTGAGCAGCAGCTAAGCTAAAGCTAAGCTACAGCTAAGCTAAATATGAGCTAAAGCTAAGCTAAAGCTAAGCTAAAGCTAAGCTAAAGCTAAGCTAAAGCTAAGCCACAGCTAAGCTAAAGCTAAGCTACAACTGAGCTACAGCTAAGCTAAAGCTAAGCTAAAGCTAAGCTAAACGCTAAGCGACAAGCTAAGCGAAACGCTAAGCGAAACGCTAAGCTACAGCTAAGCTAAAGCTAAGCTAAAGCTAAGCTAAAGCTAAAGCTAAAGCTCCCAGGGGACTGGGGGGAACCGCGGGGCGGGGACTGGGGGAACCGCCCGGGGCGCTTTCCACTGCCCGGCCCCTTTAAGCTAGAGAGTAAGAACCCTTCTAGGCAGAGCCTAGGTAGGGGAAAAAAGGTACGGGGAACATGATTTGAATATCTTTTGACCCTTCGGGGGTATCTTTTTAGGATTTTTCATTTTTCGCCCAAAGTCCTCCTGTAGGAGGACAGGCACGACCCAATGGTACAAGCAGGGGGGAGGAGGGAAGGCGGGAGGCGGGAGGCAGGAGGAGGAAGCAACGGAGGCTTCTTGTTAAGTCGGGCCTGTCCCTCTACAGGAGGAGTATTCAAAAGTAGTCAAACATAGTTTGGGATTTGTTTGCATATGTTTGACCATTTGGGGGTATCTTTGTTTGGCTTCGGTTCATTTGTCATTCACATTCCCCCTGTAGGGGACAGGCCCGACCTAATACAAGCGGGGGGAAGGAGGGAAGGAGGGAAGGCGGGAGGCGGGAGGGAGGAGGAGGAGGAGGAGGAGGAGGAGGAGGAAGCAGCGGAGGCCTACTGTAGGCGCGCCTCGGCGGGACTGTCCCCGGCCACATCAATTTTCGGGGGCCCCGGCAAGATCGCCGAGGCCTTTTTGCGGGATCGACGTGGACATCATGGCGGCTGCCTATCTTCGGCGCGCTGTCGCGCCGCCTGGTTCCTCCGCCGAGCTCCCATCGGAGCTCGCCCCTTCGGAGGAGGCCGAAGTGCATGTCTGCCGCCTAAAAAGTTCAGCTTGGAAGACAGCACGAGCACTCTATGCGCATCAGATGGGTATGACACTGGGAGGCGAACGCGGGATGTGCTGCATGTTATCGCAGCCCACGCTTACAAACGAATGTATCATATGTAGTACGACCTTCCCAATACGAGTGAGCGCACAACATCACATCACAGAAACATGGAGATCACGCGCGTGCAAGCTCGACCAGACCTGGGCCCCGCACCCCCTCATTGCCCCGGAGAGCCTCTCCTGTCTGGTCTGCCAGGAGTTTTTTGAAGAGTACACCGAGCTTCGAGGCCACCTCTGTTGACATTTACTTCAAGATGCCTTAGGGGCTCACAAGCTGTCCTTACCGCCACGCCCTGCACCTGCTCGCGATGTCCACGCTGCTCCCATCGGCAGCGAGTGCACCTCAGAGGCCGAGCTGCCGTGCCCCGCGGGGATCCTCCCTCATGTCTGGCAGTGGTGGCGCCAGCGCAAGACCCAAGGCAGATCGCTCGAGGAGCCAGGTCCGTGGCAACGACACCCGCAAGAAGCCAGAAGACCAGGACACTCACGAGGACCAGCAGATCGACCCCAAGAAGGCCCCCATCGCCAGAGTCCGCCGCAGGAGGGGTGCTGCATACAAGCCGAAGGCGGCGCCCAAGATTCAGAACGGCATGCGCGACCTCATTCTCATCCTGCTGCGGGCGACCTACCGGAACACGAAGAAGATCAGGGAGCTCAAAGGATGAATCATCACGACGGTGAAGGTCAGCGAGAAGGAGAATCGCAACTACGCGCGGGCCATTCGCCAAGAAGGAGAATCACACGGAAGGTCCCCCCCCGCCCCAGGCGCAGCGATGGCGATGCTGGAGGCGATGGCCCAGCAGGACATCGGCTCCAAGAGCAAGACCGATCTCACGGCCACCAGCGCCATGGACCAGTTTCAGGTGCAGGACATCTCCCCGATATGCAAGCTCGAGAAGGCCAACAAGAGCGGCCAGGCCAATATACTATTCAACTGCAGGGGCTACGAGATCAGGCAGTGCATCATGGGGGGCGCTCCACAACGCCGACGAACAAGCTTGTGTGAGAACAGCGCCAGCAGGATTCGTGGAGGATGAGCTGGCCCTTTGGATGGGCGCCGTGATGGACGAGCTCTAGATTGGACGCCAACACTCCGCGCTAGACCATCAACCGTGCCGCCCTCCCCCCCCCCGAGTGGCCTCGTGCACGCTTGCCCGTAGGGGGCCGTTCTGCTGCTTGCGGGAGGGGGCATGCCGAGCTGCCCTACAGACAGCCCGACGGGGGGGGGAGGACTGCGCCTGATGAGCCGATCATCACTAGTGAGTCCATGAGAAGACTGGAAGCCACCAGCGCTACGACGGGGATCTGCACCTTGCCACCTCTCCCTCACCGACATTTCCGCCTACGCCAGCGCCGACTCCAGCTACCTGCACCCCAGCACCGACGGCATCAACGGCAGCAAGTACGAGGCCGCACGATGAGGCCGACGCCAGAATGAGGCCACCAGCGCCTCACCAGTGCACAGGGCCAGCTCGCGAGAGGCACGAGGGGCCCACCAGCATAATAGGCGCCCTCCCCTCGACCTCCTTCTGCCCCCCCGCCGCCGGATTCTGCTGCTGCCTCCATGCCGCCCACTTCTCCCCTCTGTCCTGTTGCACCCGCCTATCCCTGCTGACAGCTCGAGGAAGAGGTCGGGGCCGTGGCCGAAGCCGCGGTGTGGGACACATTTCGAGGTGAGCTGGGTTGTGGGCCCACCGCTTTCCCGATCGCTGGGCCGCTCGCAATCACGTGAGCGGCGCCTTAGAAAAAACCGCCTTTCTGAGGGCGAGCACCGTCTAGGCTCCAGCCGTTGTTACTCTGTTTTCTGTGATCTTGGAACTTCGGACATTTGGTGTTGAGTGAGTGATCCATCCATATCAATCAATCAATCAATCAATATGTCTATCTATCCATATCTATCTATCTATATATCTTTATTTATATATATATGTATATGTATATGTATATGTTTATGTATCCATATCCACCGCCCGCTGGTCCACCAGGACGTCGGTTCACAGGCGGTGGATATGGATAGATCCCCCCTCTTCGCATCAACAAGCTCCTGCTGTGCAACCTGAGCCCCATGATGGTGCAGTTGGCGGCGAGTCGGTTGTCCCCTCCTTCGCCCTCCCGACGACCATATTAAGACAGGATATGCAGTCCAACAGGACCGTAAGGATGATGAGCTTTCCGATGGGCCCCCTTTCATGTCTGCATTTTTTGCCCATTTTCATCCACTATCGCGGACCACACTCTCTCTCTCTCTCTCACAAGACGTCCACTTGGGCGCCCAATGCCCTCGTATCCGTACCGCGCATCCAGAGCATCCTGCCGCGCTGCAGTGTAGCGGGCGGTTCGCGCGGAAGGGCGCCTCCGCTGGCAGTGCGCCGCGTGCGGGCTCTGCCTCGATAGCCTCACAGACGATTCGCTCCTCAGCGCGCCCTCGCTTCCCGAGGAACGCCGCCCGACGGGCGCGAACTTCGCTCGCGAGCGCGTTCTGCACCCCCGGCACCCCGTGCTCACGGGATACCCTTCAGCAAGTTGGGGGGCACTTCCGTTTGGCCAGCCGCCGGGGCTGCGCACGAGACCCGCGGCCCGCACGCGCTCCCGTGCACGACCTCGGAGGAGGAGGAGGAGGAGGAGGAGGAGGAGGAGGAGGAGGAGGAAGAGGATGAGGAGGAAGAGAAGGACGAGGAGGAGGAAGACGAGGAGGAGGAGGAGGAGGAGGGAGGAGGAGGAGGAGGAGGAGGAGGAGGAACGCTCGTAACACGGAAGGGTCGAGTGCACGCGGCGGTCGGTGGGCAGTCGCTTTGACCCTCCTGCGCGGCCCGCGGCGCGAGACGCGCAGCCCTCGCGAGGACTCCACTCCAGAGGCCAGTCGAACTTCACAGCAGCGGCGGCGGGCTCATGCAGAGAGCTGGGCGTCGACCCAAGGGCTGCGATTTGCGTCGTGCTGTGGCAGGGGGACCCGTCCGGGGCGCTGCGGTCTGCCCGGTGCGCCTTGCCGCCTTCAGCGCCTGGCCGATACCCCCCCCCCGGGCCCGCGGCCGACCTTAGAGGCCACATGTCCGCGTCTTCTCTGCTGACGACGTGGAGAAGGGGGGGGGGGAAGGAGGAGGGGGGGGGGCAGTTGACGCTACGAGCCCTGGCTCTGCGGCTTGCCCAAGAATAAGAAGGAGGGGGAGGGCTGCAGGATAATGATATAAGGGGGTAGAGGGAAGGAATGTGGGAGCGGCCCGGGGGTGTGACACGGGCCCGTTCGCGCCAACAGTGCGGGGACCTCCCAGGCAACACGCTCGTTTTGGGAAGCAGGCGCGTCTCTTTTCATCCTCCCATGATCACCGCGATGCATCAGACACTGTACTGTGGCATCCCAGGGGGGGGCCGCCTGGGGATTGGCATGGGCCCGTTCGCGCCCAGAGCGCGGGGTCTCCCAGGCCAAACGCTTGTTTTAGGATGCGGGAGCGTCCCCTGTCAGAGCCGCATGCTCACCACGATGTGGCCGACGCGCCCCATGGGCCTCCCAAGGAACAGCCGCACGGGGGTATACCACGGGCCCGCTGGCGCCCAGATTGTGGGGACTTCTGAATCGCCGAGATTGCCGGACCCCCTGACTCTTGCCCAGATTTGCACTGTCTCCGATCCAGTCAGGTTGAAACCCAATCCTACCCAGCCTCCCATAGATTCAGCCACGCGCTGTCAGGCCCACTCGCGCGCAGACCCGTTAGCACCCAGACCCAGTCATATTGAGACGCTCTTCCTCATCTTCAGTCTATCATATTCCGACACGCCCACGCTCAGACTCACTCGCATCTGGGTTCGTTCATACCCCACCTCGTCTTCCTCCACCTCGCCTCGTTTTCGACCCTCTCCCCCCACCTCGTCCTCGATCGCTCCTCCCCCCCATGCCCTCCTCCCCCCTCGGTCCCTCTCCCTCCCTGCTCTCCTTGCCTCTCGCCCCCCCCCCCCCCCTCCCCCACTGGCTCTCCCCCTCTGCCTCCCCCCCATCCAGCACCTCGCCCCTCGGCCCCACGCGTCTTCTGTCGGGCGTGTCCCCCTACAGGGGGATTCTGGACGAAAAATAAAACATATGTTCAACATGGTCAAAAAATCGTCAAAAATAGTCTGGGGACTAGTTCTTTTATTTATTTTGCATTTTTGGGGCATTCTTAGGGTTAAAACAAATTGTTGAACATCCCCCTGTAGGGGGACACACCCGACATAACACACGTCCGAAGAAGTGTTGTTCTCCATGCGCTGCCACGAGGTCCCGACCCCAGTGTTCTCTTCTCAAGGTCCTGGGGCCCGGCAGCGGGGAAACTGTTCGACTGGACAGAAGAAAAGTTCGGATGGTCGGGGGGATCTGCTGGGCCGCGAGATCTGCACTCAGGCATGGTCGCGTCGTAACAAAAAAAAGAGTCCGGGCGGGAGGTTTTTTTGGCCGTGTTCGGCCTCGGGGGGCCACCGCCAGACCTCGGGGCCACCAAACCCATCCCGGGGAAACGGTCGGGACGTCCAAGAACCCCGTATGGAACCAAAAGCAGGACGGCCGGGTCCGGTGTCTCGTCCCGAGTGGCCGAACATAGCGACAAGCTCCCCGTCGTGATTTTTGCCTTACCTGAGAGGTCTGGGAGATCTACACGGGGCGTTCCAAAAATGGCCTTGCCCACGAAGATCGAGGGAGTTGGCCTCTCTTCCTCGGTGGAAGGCGGCGGAAGGTCGGCGGAGTAAGGCGAGGCCGCCTCCGCTGGCGGTAGCCGGCGGAAGCCGGCGCAAGCTCGGCGGAAGGCGGCGGAAGGAATCAATGAATGCAGGATGACGATTGATAAATGATTGAGGGTCGTGTTGCGTCGGCGGCGCCTCGGAAGATGATTAGAAAAAACCGGCCGTGGGCTGGGAAACTTTTTCAAAATCGTTCCCCCGCTTGCCGTCCTCGGGCGCGCGCCCTGACAGCCGACGGGCAAGACGGAGCCGAAGCGGAGGAGGGAGGTTCGCATTTTTAGACATAATGTTTGAAGCCGGCGTGCAACGAGTATTTGACGTAAAAGTTTGCAGCCGACATAGACTTGATATTTGACGTTATATTTGAAGTCGACGTCGAAGAATCTGTTGAAGTAGAATTTGACGACAACGTGAAATTAGCATTCGACGCAAGATTCGAAGCCGACGTGCTATCGACATGTTTCTAATCGTCTTCCTCCCGTTGGAAGATCAGTCAGGAATCAAAGCAACTGTTTTAATCGTTCCCTTATGTTTTATGTAAAAAGCGTAATCCCGCATTACCCTATCTTGAGAAATGTCTGATTCACGAGACGGTGCTTAAAACTTAACCGTTCAAGGCACCACAAAAAAACAACCCATAATGATTGACGCCTTATCTTAGAATACTCAATAACATATTTGTGCGTCTCAAAGGAGTTCTCTATAACCAAAGGCACATGCTTCCTGCACCACTGCTTGTAGAAAACAGAGCCGCCCCGCTGCCCCAGGCCTGGCGCATCCCAGGCCCAACACTGGTCCTCCAGGGGCCTGGGGCTCTTGCTGGGTGCCGCGGAGAGGTACGGCTCGGGGGCGGCCAAGAGGGGGGTGATGATCAGGGGGGGCAGATCATGGCGGGGGCCACGACAGTTATCCCATCAGAATTCACGGCGTCTCTTCTTCTTCTTACTTCAACACGTCCCCGGCCCCCCCCCCACTGGGCCGCGCACGTCCCGCCGGCCATGATTGGCGCCCCCCCCCCCTTTGGGACGCCCCCCTGTCGGCCGCCCCCCGAACGGCGGGGGCGCTCGTGAAGGAATCTGCCCAGACCCAGACGCCATCGAGTTATGAAAGAAATCACGACGGCAGGTTTTTCGCTATGAGCCTGTTTTTTTGGATTCAGGCAAGTTTACTTGCATGGCGTTCGCCCCCCCCCCCCCCCCCCCCCCTCGCCCCTCTTCAAGCGAATACTAGCGTGCAAATGCCTTTCGACTTGCGTAATTTCCGCGCCCCCCCGAACGTGCAAGTCGTTTGCGGCTTGCTTCAGGCTCAGCCCCCCCCCCCCGTCCATGCAAGTAAACTTGCCAGAGTCTAAAACAAAAACAGGCTCTATGTTCGGCCTCCGGGGGCCCTTACCCGCCCTCGGGGCCGCTAGAAAGCTGGGTCGAGACCTCTGGGGGTCGACTCTGTGAACAAAATCCTGGCGTCGGGGGTCTGGGGGCCCCGAATGACTGCGTATCTGATGAGGGCGGGGGGTGATATCCGTGGCCGAGCCCCAGCTGCTGTTCCACTGGCTTCCAGACCCTGGACTCCTCCAATGGTTCCTCATCCAGTGCCCTCACCGTATATCCCCAGGCATGCGACGCGCTGACCTTCTTAGTACGGCGTCCCCAGGAGCCCCGACCCTCTCCCAATGGCTGCTTTTTCACCCTGAGTCGTTGTCTGACGGCCCTGGGGCCCGGCGAGGGCCCCCATAGGGGCCGAGACCATCGACGAACTTCCCGCCCCGATGTCTGTTGAGCATGTCTGGAACCCGGCGAGGGCTCCCAGGCAGGGGCCGAGTCTAGCGACAAACCTCCCGCCCCGATTTGGCCCACCGTGCGCGAGCAGGTCTGGAACCAGACCCCGCCGCCCCAGCCTGGGGCCCTCTCCCCCCCCTTCCCTGAGATCCGACGCTGCAGAACATTGCAACACCGCACGACCAGACCCCCAGACCCCATCTTTCTGCGCCATTCTTCGAGCCGGCTCGATCGGTGAGGGTCCCGGGGCCCGACCTTGAGCGAAACGGACACGGCACATGCGACCTGATTTTTTGTTCGGGACGGCGTCCCCGGAAGTCCAGACCCAGACACCCGGCGTCTCGATTTTTTCGAGACACGGGCCCCCGACCTCTCGACCACTTCCCCGGGACTGGTTTTTCATCCCGAGTCGTTTTTTAACGGTCTCGAGGCCCGGTAGGGGCCCCGAGAGGCCGAAAACTATGATAAGTCTCCGTCTCGATTTTTTCGAGACGCCCGATGTCTGAGGACCTTTTCCCCGGGGGCGGTTTTTCATCCTGAGTCGTTTTTTGACGGTCCCGGGGCCCGGCGAGGGCCCCGAAGGGTTGAACATCGTGAGAAACTTGCCGTCCTGCTTTCTTTTTACGATGTTTGAGTCGCCAGCATCTCAGGGTCGGCCGGACGCTCCGCGCTGCCGCCAGGCTCCGCCTCTCCATCGAGCAGCCGGCGGGGCCGCCCCCCGCCGCGGACCAGCCGCCGCAGGGCCGTACCGCGGCCGACCACCAGGCGGGCCCGCCCCCGCGGGCACCGAAGCGGGCCCGAGGGCCGAGGGCGGCCGGGCGCCGGCCGCGGGGGGCACTTCTCTCTATATAGGCCCCCGATGCTACCCTCGTCAAGCTAAACTTCAGAAATGGCGACCACGCCCCTGCGATGTCGGCGCGCCCTTCAATGTCGATAGACGCCCCTCCAATGCCGGGGCCAGGGCAGAAGTGGTCTGATCGGGAACGACTCGGAAGTTCGATGATGACCGACATTGGAGGGGTGGCACATACAGGTACCTCGCAGTCATCGCTACTCTGTCCAGAGTCTCCCCACAGACAGTTCAGCCACCTAGGACATGTTTGATGTCAATTTTTACGAGGGTTGTAGGTGGGGTCCGAGTAGATGGGGTCGGAGGATCGCGCCGCATCGTCGATGCATCGGCGGTGCGGCTCGTTGTGGAGCCCGATGTTCTCCACGTCGGCGTCGCCCACGTATCGCCGACATACACGATACGTCGCCGGTGCGTCGCCGATGCATTGCTGATGCATCGGCGAGAACGAGTTCTGAGATCGGGAACGAGTTCTCGGCCCTCGCCGAGGACAGCCGCCCGCCCAGCTGCCCGGCCGCGAGCGCTCCAGAGTCCTCCCCCTCTTCCTTTCTCGACCTCCACCTTCGGGCCAGAGGGCAGTCTGGGACTCCGTTCTTGCGAGACGCCTGGGGGGTCGGCCCGAGAGGGCTCCTGTCGTCGCTCAAGGCCTGAGCAAGCTGTCGTCGTCCAGGCAATCTCTGATTCACCCCCCAGCCGGGCTCGACGGCGAGCGCGGCGGCTCGCGCGGGGCAGGACTGGATCCGCGAGCTCCAGGCGCCGGGCGGCGCGCGCGCGCGGTGGGGGGTCGGAAGTCAAATCGGCGCGAACGAAATGGGCACGGAAAGACTTGGTACAATGCCCAACAGCAGTTCCTGTTCAATGTGAACAGGACTCGCTGTTGGTGTCGCCACGGCCTGTGTCCATTTGAGACAGATGGCCGCCTGCCCAACAGCGGCCGCTGTTGGTTTGGGACAGCGCATGTTTTTGGGCATTGTACCCACTCCTTGCGCGACCATTTCGGGCGTCCAAATCCAAGGCGAAGCTAGCGGCGGTCCAGGAGGAGACCGACGACAGCGACACGGCAGCCAACTGGGGCCAGACCGGGGACCCGTGGGCGGACGCCGAGCTGCAGCGCATCGACTACACGGCCGAGTCGCTCTCCCCAGTCGAGCAGGAGCTCTTCTACGAGGGAAACTACCTACTGGGCCCGGCGGCGAGCAACGGGAGGCGCGCGGGCCTGAAGCTGCTGGCCATCCTCCAGGTGGTGGCACTTGCGCGCCTGCTCAAGCAGCTGGCGCCGGGCGCGAACAACATCCTGGATCGACCGGGGCCGCAACAGGGACGCGAACGGCGAGTGCGCGCGCCCTCTCTCCGCGACGCGTCGGGGAAGCAACCGGCGCGGCACGTTCGCCCACTGCCTCATCTGCAGGAAGAGGCTCGAGCTGCACAAGAGAACCAAAGGGGATATCCAGACCCAGAGGATGATCAAGAAGGAGGAGAATGAGCTGGCTCAGCGAATCGTAAAGGAGATGAAAATCGAGATGTCGGCACCGAAAAAAGTCGAGCCTCTCTCCGGTGGCGTGGAACAGGCCTCTCGCGCCCACGAAGCCGCCCCCGGCCAAGGCGCCGCCCCAAAACGGCAGGGCAGCTCGCAAGTCACCTCCGGTGGCCCCTGCTGCGGGCTTCCAGCCGATCGATACCATCGAGAATATCAAGGTCGAGAGCGACGACGACTTCGAGGAAACCTCGATTCAGACTCAGAACGACCAGCTGAAGCAGATCATGATTAACTGGCAGAGCCAGGGCATCAACCATCAGCTGGGCGAGCTCACGAGGATGATGGCCATTCTCGTGCAGAACCAGGCCCAGGCGTCGGGCAGCGGCGACGGCCGCTAGGACGCAAGACCGCGAGGTTCGTCACCGATTGCCCAGACGACCGGGCGGTCAGGACTGAAATGGGCCCTGGAGAGGGCGTGGCCAGATCCACTTCTGCCGGAGCTGCCACGAGCTCCGAGAGCGTGCCTGGCTCGTCCTCCCGAGAGCCTGACTTTTTGAAAAATGGGCTCTCCTCTCGCCTTTCTCGTTCGTCCATCTTCTCGCTGTCTGACCTTCCCCAGGCATCTCAGATTCTCGCCGATCTCCCAGGAGGTCTCTCTCCCGAGAGCAGGACTGGAAACCGCCTGAGCGTCCTTGGCGGGGCCCGGGCCAAGACGGCCCTGCGCCAAGGAGGCCCTCATGGGTCCCGGGGGTCTGGGATCTGGAGTCGGGTAATTAAGCAGATCTCGCTGGATGAGGTCAATCACAGAGCGAATTGGTCACGCTCCGAGCTGAGCGATCGGGGGCGGGCGTCCTGGGTGGTCGATCTGGCGTTGGAGGCCGGAGGCTCGAATTCATCTTCGTCCGCGCTTGCCGGGGAGGTCAGGAGGGTCAGGGTTGAGCAAGGGAAGGGCAGCTGCCTGTGCGACGCGTCGTGGACCTCGACGTCCTTGGAGGAGCTGGCGCAGGCCCTAGCGGGCCATGGTCACGAGAACATCAAGATCACCACATGGGCCCGGCCCGAGCCTCAGGAGGTCTCCACCTTAGTTCTGGGCGCCCGAGATGGGCACCGAAAGAATGGGTGCTATGCCCAACAGCAGTTCCTGTTCATTCTGAACAGGCCTCGCTGTCCACGCCGCCGCGGCCTGTGTCCATTCGAGACAGGAGGCCGCCTGCCCAACAGCGGCCTCTGTTGGTTTGGGACAACATTTATTGTCGGGCATCGTGCCCATTTTTTCGGTACCCAGGTCGGGCGTCCAAATTATTCGTCAACGAGTCCGAAGATGAGATCGTCGAAGCGGCGCAGGCCCCAGCGTCCAGTCTTCCCGATAGTTGGGTAGTTTTCCATCGTGATCCCGTGGCGCACAAGGTCCAGCAGGAGCTCAACGTGCCTCGTCAGGTTAGACAAGGGGCCTTGCAGGCTCTCACGGGTTGGGGGATTAGAAAACAGCGCAGACAGATCAGAAGAGATGCCGCTCAGGCGTGTCGGAAGTCTGGCCACGCCGCGGTGCTAGAGCTGTTCTCCCCTCCCCGGGTGCCCCGTGAGATCGAGCGCCGTAGATGTCCTGTCCCACCGGCCAACGAGTCCGAAGATGAGATCGTCGAAGCGGACCAGGCCCCAGCGTCCAGTCTTCCCGATCGTTGGGTAGTTTTCCATCGTGATCCCGTGGCGCCCAAGGTCCAGCAGGAGCTCAACGTGCCTTGTCAGGTTAGACAAGGGGCCTTGCAGGCTCTCACGGGTTGGGGGATTAGAAAACAGCGCATGCAGATCAGAAGAGATGCCGCTCAGGCGTGTCGGAAGTCTGGCCACGCCGCGGTGCTAGAGCTGTTCTCCCCTCCTCGAGTGCCCCGTGAGATCGAGCGCCGTAGATGCCCTGTCCCGCCGGCCTCGGATAAGAAGACCAGCTAGGATCTGACCACGGCGGAGGGCCGCCGCAAGCTATGGAAGACGTTGCGCGAGGACTTCCCTGAGTGGGTGATCATGTCTCCCCCCTGCACGTCGCGTTCGTTAGCTAGGGCCCCCAACTGGTCCCGAATGGACATGGCCAAGCTTGAAGCATCTGAGGCCGAGGGCCCCCTGTTTATGGGTATCTGTGCTATGGTGGCCATGCATCAGCTGCAGCGCGGGGGGGGGTTCTGCTGGGGCATTCGGCTTACGCGCTGTCTTGGGGACTCGAGTGCGCCGAGCTGGTATCAGCTCGAGAAAGCGTGGGAAGCGCGTTGACCGACCAATTCCAGTTCGGGATGTCGGTCCCAGGGTCCGAAGAGCTGAATCAGAAAGCCACTCGCTTCCTCTCGAACGACCAGTCGATGCTTGGGTTGCTTGGCCGTCGGTGCGACGGCCCTCATCCTCGCTTTCCCTCGTCGGCGGTGCGAGGACCTCGACGGCGGAGGTCTACCCGCCGGCTTCGACCCTGGCGCAGCGAGTGGAGAGCGCGCTTCTGAGTAGCAGAGAGGCTCTGGCCCCCTCGGATGGGCTGGAGGCTTATCCCGAGGGGATTGCTTCTGTGGGTGAGGGGGTAAACGAGGTTATTGACGTTTCTGATGAGGAATCCGAACCGTCTCCTCCTGCCGCTCACGGGAAAGGCTCTGGCGAGCCACCGTCGGGCGATCTCGCCGAGGAGTTTCAAAACGGGATTGAGAAGCTGCACGTCAACTTCGGACATCCGCAGCGCGACGACTTCGCGCGGTCGCTCAAGGTTGCTAACGCCCGGGTCCGATGGGCCGCTCGCCACTTCAGGCGCCAGGCGCGCGAGTCGGGGGGCGCGAACTCATGGAGGCGGCGAGCGCAGCTCTCTAGGACCTTTAGGTTCAACCAGCTGGTCGCGTTTGATCTCTTGTTCGCGCCAGCTCTCAGCGTGTCTCTGCCTATCTTGAACGCGGTGAATCACGGAACTAACTTTCGAGCGTGCACGGTGTTTCCGGGGACGACGGTTGAGCAAGTGTGGAGGGGATTTGTAAGGTCCTGGATCCGCCCGTTCGGAATACCCGAGGTGGTCATGTCTGGTGGGTGTTTTGATTTTGACAGCCTTTGTTCGAGACTTCGGCGTCTTCCACCACGCGTGCGACGGCGAGAGCCCGCGCCAGAACGGCCGTTGCGAAAGGCGCGGCGGACTGGTGAAGTTGGCTTTGCGGAATGCAGCCTTCTCTTCTCAGCCAGCGACAATTGAGGAGGTCGAGGACCTTCTCGCGGAGGTCGTGGCCACCAGGAACCGTCATACGCACGGGGGGAGCTTTCCCCCCGCCAACTAGTCTTTGGGGAGAATCCTCGGCTGCCCCGATCCTTGTTGAGTGACGAGGCCGTGGACGAGGTGGGGGCTCAAGATATTATTCGAGGCACTCACGATGCGGACTCCCCGTCCGCTGCTTTCGCTAGAAAACAGATGTTTCGGGAAGTAGCCATGAATGCGGCCA